AAAGTCTGAACCACACTCGACCAAAGTCTGAACCTTACTTAATCAATAAACCTCTAATTTATCAATCTTGAATTTATAACTATAATGTATTCATTAATAAACCATCTTTTCTTTCATTGATTCTTTTTATCTGACAAATCAATTTCTTATATAGTACCTCTTTGTCAAATTTCTTGCCAAGGGAAACAAATTTGGTAAAAGTAGACTCTTAATAGAAAAGATAAGGCAGATAGATTATGAATAGGTCGAGGAAAGTTAAGACACGGTGGAGTATGGTTTAGACTTGGTTTAGTATGCTTAAGACTTGATTGAGTATCATTCAGATTTGTTCTAGTATGGTTCAGACTTGGTCGAGTACGGTTCAGACTTGGTCGAGTATGGTTCAGACTTGGGTCGAGTATAATTAAGACTCATTAAAATGATTTAAAACTGGTCGAATACTGTTCAGACTGTTTAGTATAGTCCAGTCTAGAGTCGAGAAATATCGAGCAAATTCAGACAATTCAGAATGGTCGAGTAAAAAGTAGTACAGTCGAGTACAAATACCGCTTATTTCAGACTTTTACTGGTTAGTAGTGTATACGGGAGAGATTGTGCTTGATCTTCATATGATGAAGACATTATCTTTCAATCAGTTTAATTGAGGTCTGGAGCTGGCATGTCAGTAACTGCTAGTAGTACTTTGTTAATTTATGTTGATCATTGTCATTTTGCTTAGTTTCTTCTGTTACCTATTCTAACATCGGACTCGGACTTCTTTTAAACTGAGTTTTATTGTGCGTATTGCTGTGTGGTTGTATATTCTACATTAGCTAGAGATATAGGGGGAGGGTTGAGATCTCACAAAACATGTTTAACTCCGCCGCATTTTTGCGCCTGTCCCAAGTGAGGAACCTCTGGCTTTTTTTAGTCTTGTATATACGTTTCGGAGTTTAGTGTGACGTCCATTTTCGCTGAACTAATATACATTTTTGTTTAGGAGCAAGCTGAAGACCGACTCCGGGTACGGGATTTTCTCGCTGTGTTGAAGACCCATTGGTGGCCTTGAGCTGTTTTCTGTTGTTTGGTTGGGTTGTTGTCTCTTTGACACAGTCCCCGTTTTCATTCTCAATTTTATACATCATGTACTGTGTTACATCTCTAGAAACGCCTGGTAAAACATCAAATCCCAACCAAATGGTAAAGCGAGAAAAAACTTTACTGGCACTTCCTGTTGAGCTTTTCTGGTATAAAATATCAAAAATAGATAGGATAGGTCGACTTTTCATTAATTCATTGTCAATCTGTGAATATTTTGTTTAATAGGAGAATGGTATGCCATAGATAAACGTGTAATAACAGTTTTTTTCTAATTCTTTACGAACATACTTTTATTTAACTGAATATGTTATAAAGTAGTTCAGGCTGAGATTGTATGTTGAGATCAACTGTCGAATATAACTTTCAACTAGTCAATCAGATACTACCATCATGAACTTTTTGTTAAGTGGTTGTAATTTTTACTTGTTTCTGGTTTTGACATAAGTTTTATATGGAGCCCTCGTGGTCTTATACAGATACTAAAGAGCTGTGTTTTTAAAGTCTACCTAACGAGATGGAAAGTCTAATGCTGGAACTATTAAATCTAACGCAGGAGATAAAGAGTCAAGCGCTGTCGATATAAAGTTAAGCGCTATCGATATAAAACCAAGCGCTGTACGTATAAAGTACTGCGCAGGAGATGTACAGTCCAGAGCTGTAGATCTAAACTTTCAGAGCTGTAGATGCACAGTCAAGCCGCTTCAGATATTAACTCCAACGATGGAGATGTAAAGTCGTCTACTTTTACTGTCCGCTGGTCTTTATATCTACAGCGCTAGGCGTTGCTTCTCCAGCGCTGGACTTTGCTTCTCCAGCGACTCTACATATTCAGCGCTTGACTTAAGGTAGCAGTACACAGTTAGGAAAATCTTGAAATTGACACTCATAATTTTTAACCACCCCTTGCTTTCTAACAATTAAGGCTTATGTGTCATGTTTGTGCATATGTATGACAACAGCATCTTCCCTAGATTTGATTTCCAATAGTTAAAATGGTGAAATATAATCTCTTTTTGGTGTAACAATGGCAGCAGTCTGCATTTATTTAATACAAATTTGCAAAAAATGTCACAAATGTTCCCAAAATTTAGCCAAAAGTAGGATTTCAATCCATTTGAGTGATACCTTTTCTAAAACCATTGACATTTATCTATCAAGATGTCATATAGAAATCATATGCATTTCACCTAACTTTTCGATAAATTTGAATTGAAAAGTTCGAATGTAAAAACTTTGTTGGAAAGCACGTTTCAATAATTTCTGGATGTGAAAAATACGGACTGTCAAACAGAAAATGACACATAAAATATGCAAAAAACATCTTGATGTTTATATAAACCACATTTGAAGGCTATATTATTTTTCAGCTATCTTAGCATTAATTTCATTGCTCAAAAACTTTCATATTTTGAAAATATACCGGGTCAAAAATGCGAAACCAAACTCCCAATTGTGTATTTCTAACTTATACTACAGCGCTAGACTTTACTTCTCCAGCGCTTATTTAACATCTTCAGCACTAGAATTTAAATCCTCAGCGCTAGACTTACTATCTCGTCGGCAAGATTTTATAAACCACTACTCTTTATTATCTCATTAGACCCACGGGGCTCAATCATACAAACTAGAAACAATAAAAAATTGAATGAAAATGTTGACGGAAGCACATGTTGTATGAAGCGCGAATGCGCTTTATATAACAAATTGTGCGCACGATCAACACTTTTACAACCCTATAAAACTATAAAAAGAAGCATTCAATTCTTATAATTCCCTTTTTATGATAAACAACCATGACCTTACGGGTTATATCAAGCTTTTCGTTTGTTTATAATGCATTATTTTATCTGTGATACGCAGACATTTTCCTGTCTCTTCATCCGACAGTATTTTTACTTTCCATCATTCTTTCAATAAACCTTATAAACACCCTCCTTTATCGCTGGATAATTCTAGGTGAAAGTTCAAAGTTTAATTGCGCCATATAATATGTAAAAACGGGATATTATTCAAGATTGATAAATTCTAAAAAGTAGAACTAAATACTGAAAATTCACACATCAGTGCATGCATAAATTATCGCAATATTGCAAGAATAATAATTACGATATATATGCATCAGATATCAAATTGCGAGTTCTTATCATTGCGATATTTACCAAATAGCATTATAAAAAAAACTCGCAATAATTTCTGAAATGACAGTAATCATCCATTATTTGAGTGTAGAGTAGTGATACCTACTTCGTATTATAGGTGTTTTATACCGTATTCACAGCCCGCGAGCAAAACCAGTTTGGAATAATTTCGATCAAGGATACTGATTTAAGTATCCGCGACACGTCATTTTGGAATGTGATTAAAAAAAGAGACAAGGGTCGATTAAACGTCGCAAACTAGACATTTCACTTACTTTAAATCATAGTTTGTAGACAGTTTAACCTATTTATCAGTTCAAATTTTTGGATATTTGGCTTTGATTTGATATTAAAAAAACCATATACATTGGCTTTGTAAAACTAAAGCCAATATACACTTTTCTATTGCATTTTCTGTTCTTCTATTTGTTCTTTTCATTCCACAGGCTTTAAAAGATTGGAAGTAATCTTACAAAGCCCGTAAATTAAGATACTATTCATGTAAATTAATCGTGCCTTCTGAAAATCTTATCCTAAAAGGTTTTCCATTTGATTCTGTTATAAGATCTTTTAATATTGTTTTTATCGGTACTAACATTGATTTTGTTATTTATAAATTAAAACATAACTAACAATTTATTCCTAAACAGTTATGAACACCAACTGTCCTACATCATTTTTGTACATCCTGTCGATACATATATTTTAACATTGTACGAGGTAATTAATTCTCAAACTGTTGATGGCGTCTTTGCACTAAATCTATTGGATGTTGTATGATTGGCTTTAGTAGGGAAACATAATTTATTTATTAATTGTAGATGGCTTTGAAATTGATTTAGTAAATGCAAGTATTCTTAGAACGGTAGTTTGTGACTTCAGTCATTTGGTTAGTTTTTTTTTGTGTGCTTTTTGTCGTTCTGATAAATCCAGCCTTTTTCAATTGATTTTTATAGTTTGGTCTTAAAATGATGTTCTTACATCACTGTTTCGTGTTAGTGGATTGGTAGAGCAATTGCAAACATTTTTAACCCCGTCACATTCTGTATGCTCTTGTCCCTAGTGAGGAGCCTTTAATTTAGTGGTAGTTGTCGGTCGCAGTCTATCATATTTGTTTTCCGATTATTGTTTTGTACATGCATCAGGCCGTTGGTTTTCTCGTTTAAATTATTAAACGTGTTGTCATGTCTCATTATTATAGCTTACGATACGGTATTGTTTTGAAATTGCTGAAGGTGATACGGTGACCTTTGTTGCTCTGGTGGAAACTTGTTTTATTAGTAATCATACTACATCGTTTTTTTTTAAATTACTATTACTGCCAAATAACAAAAACATTGTCCTTTTCACTAAAATAGATAAAATTAACAGGGAATCCTTCCTTTGAAATATTAGTCTAGGAATTCTAGGAATGTTCTCTAATATCTTGTACATAATACAATGTTGATAACCCACATATGATAATAAGTTACAATAGAAATATTTTTTCCCATTTTCAAAAGACAAATATTTGTATTTTTTCGAGGTTTTTTTTCCATTTTCAAAACCTAGCAACCTGGTTAAATATTTTTATTTCTAAACGGACATTAACTGTCAAATTCATGTTCACTGATTTGAACTAAATTCTCATATTTGATTGATAACATACTAAAACGTATATCCAAATTACAAAAAATCTAAAGAAAGAACTAGCAATGCCTTTTTATCTAAAGCACCCCGGAAAATATTTGACTCGAAAGTAAATGATATCCAGTACCGTGACGGATCCCATAATCACCTACAAACATGACATAATCTTTTTATTCAACTTGACAGTATTGATAATTAAAATGTTGGTTTGATCCTGACGGTTTTATACTCAATAAATGTTGTATCACATGTGCTTATTCAGAACAAAGTTAGATTAGTTCATTTCATTTTTGGCAATTGTATATGGCATCTGAAGTCTACATTTTTGACAACCGTGCCAGTGACATGCATCTACGGATAATTATACTGAATTTGATACAACATAAATAGATTCATTGTCTATTCTGGATATATTTCGTTGATTTCTGACAATACTACTTGACGTACCTTGCGGATTTTCATCCAAAAATGTTCCGTAAAGCAATGTCCTCTTTTTTATTTTTCTATCTCTGTATTCTTTCCTGCAGAAACACATATAAATTGCCATGTTGATTCTACACTCTTTGAATCGAAATACATAAATAAGAGCATCTAAAAGTATTATAATGGTGTAAATGAGAGATATGATCGATATAGCGTTTTTAATGTTTAAAATTGGCTTCAAAAAGAAAATAAAAACATACGATATGTGTAGTATCAGATGCGGTGAAACAATGAGAAGAATTTTTGCAATGGATCGCAATTCTCTACGTTTGATTTCGGATGAGTAAACTTTCCCAAGAGATACTATTTTAGAATACATCCGACTGTATGAGAAAGTAATTATGAAAATACAAACTACCCGTAACAGCACCAACAACCATGGGAAGACCTCTTGTTGTGACATGCGTAATTCACAACCAATATCATCTGTATATGCAAACTCTGAATATAACGCTATTACAGCTATAACTGCACCGAGAGTCCAAAATACGCAACATGCAGTTGCAAGAACTCTTTTGTTTACTATCTGAGTATATGTCATTGGACGAAAAACACTTGTATATCTATCGATCGCGATCGCAGAAACAAGTAATGCAGACACGTTTAAAACACAAGTGGTGAACAGGACATCCAACATACAAGTAATTTTTTTATCGATCAGATGAAATCTGATATGTGCTCGAACGAATCCCCATAATCCAGCTATTATGTCTATAATGCATAAATTCGACACTAGAAATTTCACTGATTTTTGAACATTTTTGCATTTTGAAATAAGAAACATCGCAAATGCATGTTCAAGAACTATAAAAAGCGATCCAAACATTTCCACCAATGATCCACCTATAGTCCTAATTTCATCCACTTCTGTATTATTATTCATTTCTGTCAACAATTTTTAATATGGCCTTAGAGTATATTTATTCCCTTTTATCTTAATAACGTCTCAATGGTCCTACAATAATAGAAAAAAAGGTTTATTACTGACTACAGTAGCTATTTTTTCTTATTGTTATGGATATTAATAACCAGTTAACTGAATTTCCTGTAAAACAAAGACACCCAGATATTTATCCTGTGCGTATTATTATAAATTTGATTCATTTTTTATGAAATCCTACATACAAATACAACAGCTTGTTACATTATAACTGAATCAAACTTGACCTCAGATATGTTCCATATGTCACTTTTTCATTATTCATGCATTATAACCAGAAATATTTTGTTACCACTTAAGTGGTTCAAAACGCGAAGGAAGGAATTCTGAATTCCTTCCTGTTTTAAGACTTTTTCTAGTTATTTCTAACATATATCATTTGGATGTGTAGATGATTAATCAAATCAGTGAGGTGTACCTCTATATAATGCTTAGTGCAAAGTTCATTTGGTTAATCATTTTTTTCCCAAGAGAACACTATTTGTTCAAACTGTCACCACCCAGTTGAGGATAACCAGCAGTTCTTTTTTATTTGCCCTAAGTACAATGATGAAGACAGATCTTACTTGATTCCATTTACTCAATTGTTGCTGATGATGTTGACATAAATATTGACTTATTACTTTTTGGAAATAGATTATTTTCAAATGATATAAATATTGCTATTTTTAAATCTGTTCAGAAATATATCAGCGACGCTCACTGTTTTGTTTGATTTTTTTTCTTTTGTCATTTCGTTCCTTCTTTTTTTCCCAACATTATTTCATTTATTTCACTTAGTAAGCTTAGTGTCTCTTACAAACTTTATATATATATTTTTAATGAATTATAAAGGATATTTACATGTCTCAAGGTACTTGAATAATTGATGACTTATTGCCTACACACTATCATATACAATACATTTAGTTATTAACACTGTAAATATGTATTTTCTTGTGTGTGCTCAAAAGTAGCATGCATTTTCTTTATTTTAAATACTGATTTCACTATTTGATTATACCTTGTACATTTTATATGGAGAGAGCTTTTTAGGCTGTTCCTGTTGCTCAATCTTTTTTTATATCTTAATGAATAAAATATGTTTAAAATCAAAGCAGTAAAACAAAAGCATCTTTAAAATTAAAAATTATATATACACGAGGAATATACTTCTGTAGTGTCATGTGTACCGTTTTGAGATTGACTGAGTGTTAATTTACATGGCGGTTGATGCATGCATAGCAAGCTACACTAACCATGGCGACACAACCGGTCTCGCTCCTTTTGGAGTTCATGCGATTCCCTCAGTTTTTGTTTTTTTACCTTGATTTGTCTTTCGATTCATGAGATTCGAACAAAAATTCACGTAAACAAATTTAACTTTTCGTTTGTTCTTATCGGATCTGTAAAATGCTATTGATTCGTCATATATAGAAATCCTTTACAGTATACACGGATAGTTTGTTCACTATCTAAAGCAGGAAATGACTGTTTAGATAAAGCAGTGTCATGAACATAGTCTTATAGTTGGGAACAGTGCATTTCTGATAGCAGTATTTTTCCCATCGAAAGTGGAATTCTGAATTCGGTATAGAACTACTTTTAGCATGCATGGTTACTACCATTATCTATAGGATTTTCCAGATGTTTCTGCCCTTTACGATATATTATTAGTATACGCTATTTGTCATGAACAAGTACATTAATAACGACGGAAATATTTGTCTTCAAAAATGGAATTCAATTTTACGCTTGGGTGACGAAATCGAGTGTGTAAGTACTTAAAAATCATCTTTCTTCATAATCACTAATCTTTTCAATTGTTGTGTCGTTATCTTAAATGAAAAATATTTTCAAAGAAGTTCTTTTGTTAATTACAAAACGAAGGATTTGTAAGACTACTTCACTTTTAATTCAAAAGATAAACAATCTTTGAAGTATCGCTTCCAGATTTAATTGATGTATTGTTAAAAATCTTCATAAAACTTTTCTAGTAAATGCAATAGATGGGTTTCCTTCTTATGTTATGAATGCAATTATCTTGATCATGTTTTCATTCTTTTGATGTTTAGAAATATATTAAGCAACAAAATTACACACCTCTTTCTTTGTAGGTATAATATCAATGACCATGTCTTCTTTACCATTTTGAAGATGGGCAGAAAATTTGATGTATTATTTTTTTATTCCCGATTGTGACATTTTGACTGAGTGTTGATTCTCACGGCGGGTGATATATGAATAACTGGAACCGCTCAACCTGTCGACGCACTCGTAATCGCTCGTAATGGAGTTTGTGCGATTCCCTCAGTTTCTTTACTACCTTAATCTGCATAGATCTTCCTATCCAACTTATAAAATTCGAACAACGATACACTTCTTTTACCTAAATGTGTGTATCGTTGTTCGAATTTTATAAGTTGGATAGGAAGATTTTTTCATAGTTTTTTTTACCCAAGACTAAATAAGAAAATGCTAAAAATTAGGTTTAAGGATGCTGCTTACAAGGAAGCTATTGAGCCAAAAGTTCCAAGTAGTGAAGTCGAAATCATCCCTTCGAAAATTTAACGGACGTCATCACGAGTTGGTTTGATGACTATCGTGTACTAAGTACACAGGTTTTTTTCCCTTTTTTATTGATTTGTTATAGTTTTGAGTATTTATTTGGTGTTTCACTTAGTTGTTTTGTCACAAGGTTGGCACTAGATGATTTTTCTCTCACTCTCGCAACAATTAAAATGAATTTGAATGAGTTTCATTTTGAATATGATTCAGTTATTACTTACTTTTAAATTTTTGAATTTCACATCATATTATGTCTTATCAAGTTTCTTTTTTATTAATTAATCAATTCTATTTTTATGTTTTTTCATTTGCTATTAACAATTGGTCGATTGTTACAGCATCTCAGTTTCTCAAAGTACTAGAAAATGTTTAATTCTCACAACTCCCACATGTTAGCCGTTACATTCAATGGCTGTTGGTCCTCCTGATTTGGATACACACTACGGTTTTTTTTACTTTTGAATTATATGAAAGGTGATGCATATGATAAAAGGAGATGTTGGGTAAATATCAATGAAGGATAAAGACCGAAAATAAATCATTCATAGTAAGGGAGGCTTACCCTGTCGATGCACGTGGTTACACTCCACTTTTCCAATAACATGCTTGTCTATGTATACCTATGATGTTTCAGTTGAGGTCGGTGTACTATCTGTACATTTTACGTGTAGAAGGCTGGATTCAAACAATTGATTTTATCTATGAAAATTTGTATTCAAGATTACAAGATAAGAACTTGTAGAACAAGTACTAATTGTTTATAAATATCGCAGTAATTTGAAATTCAACCTTTAATAGAACATGAATGTATATGTCAGAATCACTCTTTTCAATAAGATTAAAATATTCTTTATCTTTAAGATATGAGATATTTCTAGTTTTAAGGGCATACGATACAGTTTCGATCCCACGATGAATTTTTTACGAAAATTTGCATACAAGCTATTTTTCACCTAAGCAATTCAAATATGTAATAAAAAATATACCTTCATGTGCTACTTTAAGAGATAAAAGGGGTCGAAATTTTAGACATTTACTCAAAATTTCGGTGTTTTTTGACATTTCTATCCTTTGGATAGACTCACTTAACTTTTTTACTTCAACAGATAAACACGCGGATTTTGGTAAAAAACAGTATGAAACTCTTTTATACATAAATATGCTCTTGATATGTGTAACAATTCTTTGGAAATAATTAATGTTTAACAAAGTTTCAGGATTTTAGGAAAAAACGGAATTTTTTGCTGTATATTTATCAAATAAAAAAAAAAATCATCGTTGACTTTTTCATTAAAATTGGTACAAATAAATCTTCATACGTTATCAAATCTAAAGCCATTTTATAAAAAGAGGAGTCCATGCACTCGTTTTCAAGTTAAATCAGTTTAAATCATAAAAAAACAGTCGAAAAATGCATCTTTTCCCAATATGTCACAGTTTGACGTCGCGAAAATAACATTTTACGTTAGCAATGTCATTACCTCCCCTGTAACTGTATCGTATGCCTTTAAGATCCAAACTATTTTGCAATATGAGAATCAGGAAACTTCATAAAAAGCTTAATAATACCAAATACATCATTTATCAATGCATGTATTATAAGGGAAATAACTTAAGTTACTGCTATGTGTTAACAAGTCATTAGATAAATTCATAAATGTAAACCTGAAAAAGTAATTTCTGTCATTGTAATAATACCAATTATTCATTAAACTGTAATGCTGGTTTGATGTACCAAAACTTTATCACGGTTGAGCTTGCATGATGTGGTAATCACTATATGATTGTATTAAATTGTACCAATCACGATGTTACCACAATGGGATCGTATCAAAATGTTCCAACCAAGCGTTTCTCAAAATTTGATTTATTACCAATCACGAGGTTATCACAATTTGATCGTAAAAAAGTGTTCCAACGAAGAGGTCCTCACTATGTGATTGTATTATAGTGTAACAACGAAGAGGTTCTCACAATGTGATTGCAATATAGTGTATCAACCAAGAAGTTATTATTATGTTATCGTATTATAGTGTACCAATCAAGAGGTTCTTCATATGTAATTGTATAATAGTATACTAACCAAGAGCATCTTCCTATTGAAGTGTCTAAAGGGGTAAAAACCAAGAGGTTTTCACTGTGTGATCAAATTATAGTGTGCATAATTAAAGGATCTCACTATGTGATCGTTTTATAGTGTATCAGCGAAGAGGTTTATTTGAATTAAAACATCTTATACTTAGTAAAATATATATGAAATTACAATACGTTGTTAATAATTTTCCATGGGAGATAATCTAAAATCATTATTCTTATGAATATAGAAAACTTTTCAAAAGATACTAGTATCTCCCATGGAAACTTACTAACAACGTATTGTAATTTCACATATATTTTACTTACCAGTTTGGTTTTATAAAACAAATTGCAATTTGGTCGGAATTTTGAATAAATTGAAATATTGTTATAATTTTACTACCTATCACCTTTAGCATGACAATAACAATGAAATTTGTATAAAAATTGTTAGACTGATTTTTCGTAATATCATTGAAGTGTTTGATTTTGCCATTTGATTGGGGACTTTTCTTTTTGAATTTTCCTCGGAGTTCAGTATTTTTGTGATTTTACTTTTTTATAACAGGTGGAGAGCAACACCTACAGTCAAGTCACAGTAACAACAATGTGTGAGCAAAATAAACAAACATAATAGGTAAAAATGTCAAAAATGGGGGTACAACAGTCAACATTGTATTATAATCTTAATCACTATAAAAACTATTTCAACAAAGAAAAACAAAATGGCATATAGACCAAGAGGTTCTTTCTATGTGATTGTTTAATAGTTTACCAAAGAAGAGGTTCTCACTATGCGATTGTATTATAGTGTACCAACTAAATTAGATTGGATTACAGTGTACCAAACAATAGGTTCTTACTATGTGATTGCGTTATTATGTACCAAACAACATATTCTTACTATGTGATTGTATTGTGGTATACCAACCAACGAGCACCGATATTTGTTACGTAATAATTTCAAGATGGCGTGAATATCGTATGAAACTTATAGCCTCACACCGTGATGCGAAGCAAAACAGAAGCTGTAATACAAAATTGAAACATCTGCTCATTACATAATACAAGTTCTGTAATTGAAAAAGGAAACATATATTTCATGAAGTAGGTACTTATAAGTAAACATAAGTCAATGTCTAAAAAAGCAAATTTTGTCTTTATCAGAAACATGCTTTTATGTATTATTGTCATTTTGTTTATTTTCTTTTGTTTCCTATTCTGACATCGGACTCAGACTTCTCTTAAACTGAGTTTTACTGTGCGTACTGTTGTACGCTTGTTTTTTCTACATTGGCTAGAGGTATAGGGGGAGGGTTGAGATCTCAAAAAACATGTTTAACCCCGCCGCATTTTTGCGCCTGTCCCAAGTCAGGAGCCTCTGGCCTTTGTTAGTCTTGTATCATTTTTAATTTTAGTTTCTTGTGTATAATTTGGAGTTTAGTATGACGTCCATTATCACTGAACTAGTATACATATTTGTTTAGGGGCCAGCTGAAGGACGCCTCCGGGTGCGGGAGTTTCTCGCTGCATTGAAGACCCATTGGTGGCCTTCGGCTGTTGTCAGCTCTATGGTCGGGTTGTTGTCTCTTTGACACATTCCCCATTTCCATTCTCAATTTTATTCGTTTTCAAAATACCTTCAATGGAAAAAACTATGCTGATTAAGACTTACTTAAATAATGATCGATTTAAATCGTTTTTTTTTAAAGTTCATTACAAGAATTGATCTTAATAAATCGATTCAAATAATTAGGTTAACAATGGAATGTGAAGTAGATCAATGGCGATATGTTTAAAACATTTAGTGATTTACCACAACGGATGCATTCAACGTCTGTATTATTATGATAACCCCATACTTCAAAACTATCATTAAAGATACTAGATACATTAGTATTTCGATAACATTAAAATTACAAGAAACTCGGTCCATATGACGTTAAAAATTAAAATAGATTGTCAATATATTTCTTTTGAATTATTAAATCATATAATGTTTGTATACCATAAAACGGAACTGTATGTATGAATCTTTAGAGCACTATTGGGTTTAATACAATTTTATTTGATGCCATGGACGAAGACAAATTAGCTTATAATTAGTATTGTTAAAAGGAGATATAAAAAATAAAGTTTTATTATCGATGACGCAATAAACCCCCTAATGAACATGGACAAGAGGATAAATCCATTAAAAAGATACAGATTAAGAATAAAAAACATTTAAAGGAATGTCAGAAGCCCAAAATGAGCGAGACTGGGTGCATCGACACGGGAAGCGTCTCCTGCTATGCATGTTCTACTGATCATGCGAATCCACATTCAATTAAAATGTCACGATCGGGAATTTGAATCAATCGGTGAAAAGGAGGCATGATAATAGCATATATATACATTTTAGTGCAAATATTTCACTTATGATTCCACTATGATGTCATTAACATGATGAGATTGATATATCTGAGTTAAAAGGACTAATTTTTCCATATTTTTAGGACATGAGACAGTCAACATGAGTTCTTCCGTGATAAACATACGTATAAACTGCACATATGTCTCTAAATAATCGCTTATCTAAACAAGTTGTCCATAAATTCAACACAGAATACAAAATATTAGTCAATGAAAACATGTTCCCCAAGTGACAACCATACATATACGATACAACTGACCACAATCACCTAAGGAGGTTACTGACTTCAGGCATGCTCATCAACATGTTGCGGGTTTGAGTAAAATCTTCGACTAGTCAATTCTTTATTGCGATCATCAAGAAATCACACAGAGAAGAACGATAGATTTCGAAATGATCAACCCAAAAATGAGGTCATTCACAATATTCATTAAAGCTGTTGAAATCATGTCAATGAAAGAACACTTTAATTAAAAGACATTGGTATAACATTTATCAGATTTTACATGCTTTGTCGTTCGACAAGGTGAAATATTTAATGTGAGTGAGTGTAAATTCATACACATGCTGATTATTTATTGACTGAAAGGTGAATCATTTGATTCAGTCATATGCTTTTATTGTGTATGCAAACAACTTATGCCGTATGAAAGCAACCCATGTCCTATCAATGCAACCCAATATTATATAACTTTTAGCCACGCCTTCTTAAGTAATCAACCCTATTTTTTTACGTATTATTCGTATACTTCGTGCAAAGACAATGCTTTTAAAAAAATCGCAAATTTTATTCATTGAAAAAAGTAGTTGATGATATACCTTCAAATATGGATAATTGATATAATAACATAAACGATATAATTTGTACTGCACCCGATACGCAGTTCTAAAATCAATGTCTCCTCAGTGATACCCAAAATATTTGAAAAAAAAAAATTATATAAACTTACTTAAATTAGGCCGTTAGTTTTCTCGTTTGAATTGTTTTACATTGTCATTTCGGGGCCTTTTATAGCTGACTGTGCGGTATGGGCTTTGCTCATTGTTGAAGGCCGTGAGGTGACCTATAGTTGTTAATTTCTGTGTCATTTGTCTCTTGTGGAGAGTTAATTACAGGCTCCTGACTTGGGACAGACACATACATACAGAATGTGGCGGGGTTAAACATGTTAGCGGGATCCAAACCCTCCCCCTAACCTCAGTTTAT